AAAATTTTTTTTTGAACCAAAAAAAAAAAAAAAAAAAAAAAGATAACTTTGTGAACAGTTAATCTAAGTAACGTTAAATTTCAATCATTCTTAATTTCAAATTAATTTGAAGATTAACTTCCATAAATTAATTAGCCAATAATTTCTTAGTTAATATTTTTCAAATAAAATAAAGTAACTAATTCCTAAGAATGTGAAAAGGGAATTATTAGGAGTTACTGAAGGATTTAGCAAAACCACATAAAATTACCGTTTATTACTAGATTTAATAAATCAACAAATTTACACATTATTTAGCTTATTCAAAAACAATCTCAATTCAAATGTATAGTTGCAATCAATCCATGTCTAACCACGCCAAATAAGCATTATGCAAGAAGGAACATTTCTCAAAATTAAAATAATAATTATAAATAAATAAAAAAGATAACATTAACAAATCATTCATTCAATACATATCGTTATCCAAAAAAATTCATTCAATACATATCCACAACAAAACTCTAACTACATATTTAGTTATAGAGCATGACAGAGAAATAATAGATCAAGAGGGACCCCATTACGAACTAATGAAGAAAGGAAGAGCAATGAATGATCCTTCAAGCTTTCCTAATTGAGTCAAAAAGTGTACTTCAAGTGCTTTAATATTCTACAGATTATTTGTTTTTCTTAACTCTTTTTATCGGATTTAACTACTTTTATCTTTCCTTCAACATTGTGCCATAAAGTATTATAATCTATTAGGAAAATGATATGGATTGATCAAATAAGTTTATTACTTCATTAGGTTACAATTTAAGAGTGTTGGATTCCAAAATTTGCTTGATTTTAGATGATTAAGAACTACAACTTGGACCTATAAGAATTAAAATTAAGAGAAATGGCCAACTAAATCATTAAACCCATGAAAAACTATTCTTGGAACATCGTGTACAAAAAGTGAAGTCGGAAGTCTGATAACACAATCACAAGTGTTTGAGGCAAAAATACATGATTTTGCCGTCCTACTTTTATTCAAACTTGGATAATGAAGCTCTCGCTATCCCATTTCCTCAGTTAGAGATTCTCTTATAATGAAGTTAACTAGTGACAACCTAGATGTATCAACAAAATTAAAATAAATGCATGCCAAAAACTAGGTACATAATAATCATTTTTACATGAAATTTATATTAATAATAACTCTTTTCTGTCCCTATAAGATTTTATTTTGAGGCCCAGTATATACAATGTACAATGGTCAGTTTTTCATTGATTTTTTGAAAACGATTACCCAACGTAGAATCCGACCGAAGATCATTCAAAAACAAATTTTGTCGATTAAAGGCAATTTCCATGGTCTAGAATCATAACACGTACGAGAAATAACGCTATAACGGCCCAGTCTATATCAAAATCTCCCCTTCTTCCAACCCAAAAAGTAAACAAATCCAATGAAGTCGACCTATATAATCGGATTTTGACTGTCTGGGTAAATTTGAGGTCTAAATTCGAAATTAAACAAGATATTTCTTAATGAAAAAAGGTGGTTTTAAATAGAAGAAAAAAGCAAAATTTTATGCACTCCGTTTCAAACTAATCCAATGCTTTAAACAATGCACTTTCATCTCAGGTTTAGCTCAGTGTAGAGTTATAAGCAAGTTAAACAGAACGCTCTAATTTGACATAAATTTCAACAGACGAACATGCATGCTGCCACTTATGGTAGAAACGGGGCTATCCAACGGTAAACTTGTTTCCTAGGGGAAACAAAATATACTACATTTAAACCAATGCTGTCACATCGAAAGTTCCTATCAACGGACCAAGGAAGAAACTAAAACAATAATTATGCAACTAGCATTAGCAACAAGTACTGGCCATTTCCACATACATATATTTGGAACAGAAGATAAAAGAGCAAAAGAGCAAAACACGTTACAAGACATTATATTATACACCATGACCTCCTAATTAATCGTAAAAAAAATCGCCTTAATTATTGTGAAATCTGCCCGAGTTCAATCACTGTCCTCTTCATCTGCATAATAAATGAGAGAATGTAAGGACAATCACTTCCCTGAAAAGCAAAAATCGAAGTAACACGTGTTGTCATAGAGAAGATGATTCATCAGACAGTATAATATGTGTACTCCGTAAAATTGCTTCACAAAAAGCTGTGCACCAAGCGCAGCTCACCTTTTCCTTTTTATTTTATTAAGAAATAATTAATATTTAAAACATAACCCAACAAGGAATTGGGCAACAGTATACGAAAAGATCGAGGAAAATGAAATGCAAGAATGCACCCAAAATCTTTCATTACCCATCACAACAGAAAATTAAGGGAAAATCTTGAAAACAATTTATTTTCCAAGAGTATTCAAACCAAAGATTCTTTAGCTGTGCTGTGATTAGATGCCATTGTATGTGTTGTGTTTAGCATATCCAGAATCCTGGGTTACCAATCAATGCCTAGCTAAATCCAAGTGTCCCAGAATACAAGGACATTCTCGAAATTCAGTAATAACTAATATCCTGAGATTTTAAATATTATTGTCGGCAGCAGATAGATCAAAATGGAACTTAAAGTTACAAGGGCTACGCCCAATGCTATAAATGTTGAAATCGTTTGATACCTATTATCATGTTTCGACCCTATCAAAGCAGTTTATTATTATTAATATTAACAAACTACTTAACCACTGCAAAAAGCACCAAAGAAAACATGATTCCCGAATCTATAATTTGTGGTATAGCCAATAGAATGTAAACAAAGCAAAAACCTTGACATATTTTAAAATTTAAACAGACATACCATCATTGAATTCTTCACTCTGACTTCCATCATCATCACTAATATCCTCTTCCTCATCTTCATCATCTTCATTATCGTCATCTTCATCATCATTTTCATTATTATCACCTTCAGCATCATTGCCACTAGTTTCAACTGGAACCTTCGGCTTGGGAGGTGGAGGAGATGCAAAACTAGTTGTTGACCTTCTACGTGAACTTGATACAATATTGCTTAAATCAATACCCTCAAGTTCTTTGGCTCTAGCCTTCTTCCTTTTTACTTCCTTGATTTCTGAGTAAATGAGAAAACATAAGAAAAGGGAAATAGGCGCCATTAAATGAAAATAATGGTGACAACGAAATCAAATCAAAGGCTGCCACATCCGCAGCTCAATAATCCAACCCTAATGAGGTTGACTGAAATTACATTACCTTCCATCTAGTTTCAGATACTCATATTTTTATTTTTCCATACAATTATACCCCCACCATACAGCCAGCATTATCTGAGACTAAACTACTTAAAACGGTGCTATCAAATTCCAACAATATAGAACGATACTTTTACAAGGAAAACAACATATATCAATAGAGATGTCAAAATTTTATTTTCAATTTGTGATGCTAAGTTTTCACTCCGTAATATACACACTGAATGAAGTCAAGGCCCAAAAGATGCCATGTAGATTAATTCTTTTTAAAGAAAGAACAAATTATGGAACAACTTAATTACGTTTATATTATACTCACATTACTGATCAAAAAAGATATTATACTCACATCACAAGTTTAGTTTCTCAAATCTCAAAAATTATTCAGAACTAGACAACGATCAAGTTAAAACTAACAAAGGTTTCAATAGTCTAGGTTGTATGAAAGATAATTGGATTTGGGCACAGTTAATAACAAAAGCTCCAAGGGCTCCTTCAACAAAGGAAATACGTCAGGACAATGTTATGGGTATCATAGATTCACGATATGATACATGCGAGTGATACAAATCATTCGTCATTGGATTTTGTGCTTCAATCATAGATGAATCATATGATTCACAATATGATACATGCAAGCGATACAAATCATGCATCAAATGGTTTTTGTGGTTCAATCATAGATGAATCGCTTGACTCACATGAATCACATCCTGCACATGATTCATGTGATTCAGGCACAACTAGGTCACACCCCCTAAAAATGATTTTTTTTTTTTTTTTGAAAAACAGGTAAAACAAGGGAACAGGCCATTTTTATAATTTTCTTTGGCAGCCATTGTTTTTCTAGCCTTGTGACTGTTATGATTTTGATCTTTCTTTGTATAAAACTTATGTCACTATATAGCTATTTGACTTCAAATTGCTAATATGTGTGTGTGTGGTGCTCTCCCAGAGGGAAAGGATTGGAACTACCGCCTAGGGGAAGAAGACTAAATGAATCAAGTGAATAATCCCCAGGGGAGGAGCACGAACAATATAGGTATGAGCTGCACTTAAAAGCTATAAGCGATAGACTATCATCGCATTCGGGATATAACATACATACATACATACATATATATATATATGCTACTAGAATTATTTTTTTAGTCAATAATCAAGAATTTGTGCTTGTATATGTCTTAGTCTTATATGCCATGTTTTATAACTGATCATGAATCTCGTGATTCACAATACAGTTTGACTTGCAATTCTGAAAATTGGCCTACCGATTCATAATTTGAATCCTGACTCTACTACCATGTATTAAGATGAAATATTGCAGCTAATATCCAAGGAAGATGGAATACTAATAAACATGGGCTCACCCTTTTCAGATGGATTTGAAGACAATCCTTCTCTAGAAAGTATTTCCTCCAACTCCTTAATTAGCTGCCCTTCCCGTTTGTTTTCAGGCACTTGCTTGACTTTTTTGTAAATTGCAGGAGGAACACTGATAGAAATATAAAATATCAAACTATCATCATGAATAACGATCTAGGATCATAAAAAGGAATGCAAAAAAGAAAATTACCTCATCCCACATGCTTTAATAACAGACTTTAAGTGCTCCACACGTTTACCGTACACAGGAGTTGAAACTTCTTTCTTCTGTAATTCAGGGGAAAAAAGAAAGATATAATCCAATGAAATATACCTCATACATCTAACATATAGAAATTGACCCCAAAAAAATGTAGAGGACAGCTTCATGGAATTTCACACAAAAGGACAACCTTCATAATATACAGAGTTGTTATTCAGCTAAAAGATCGTGATTGTTATATAACTATGGCTATGGCCATAACTTTTCAACTTATACCACACATTTCCTATTTGCAATCAGCATAAGTCAATAATTTATTATTACCTTGGAAGGTTTCTCTGGTGATGAATCAGACTGATCATCTTCAGAGTTTTTCCCATTATCTTCTGCATCACTATTGTCTTCTGAGGCTGCTTTTGTAGGCTTGACCCTTTTCTTACTGGATAGATCAGTCTCCTCTCCTTTACGCTTTTTAGGTCGGACAGAAGTCTGCATCTTGCCTTTTGGAACAATCTTTTTTTTAGGTTTAACTTCATCTTCCTGACTCTCTTCCTCATCAGTCTCCTTATCTGAACTATCAGAGTTTTCTTCGTTGCTGACCTTTTTAGTTACTTTGGTATCAGGTGTTTTCTTAACAACTTTCTTAGCATTCTTTGAAGGTCCCTTAACTTCAGAAGATGCTAATACCTTCACATTTAACAAAGACATGCTAAGCATCAGATAACATGTTTTTGTGCTTCTTATGAACATGAATGACATGTTTTTCACTCACCTCATCAAGCTGTTGACTTATAAACTTCTTATAGGGATCAAGAGTAAACTTTTCAAGTTTAAGATCTTCCTCCAATAGTCGACGAAGACCAGCCATAGTGACACTCCTGAAATTAACAAGTGGAAAAAAGCACCCTGTGTCATACCTTAAGAATTATAGCCAATGAATCAGATTATGTGAATAAATTAATTAAAGGTGAGCACATGAAGAACATGTGCATTGTCATAAAGAGAGGTCAGAATGATAAATAATTAAGAGAATCAGCAGCATACTCTGCATTAGCCTTGATGTATGGAGATCTTTTTCTAACAGCTTTCTTAATTAGGGCCTCATTCAGAACTACTTTGGTTCCATTGCCTTTATCATCCTTGGTTTCATGTTTAACCCTTTTTTGTTCTTTGAGAAGACCTAACACTGGAGAGTCTTCCATTTTCTCCTCATCTTCAGGGCGAGAATCCTTCACATCTTTTGATTCAGATTCTTCTTTCAGTCCTTCAGACTCCTGTGTACTAGCACTTTTTTCCCCTGCCTTCCCTGATATCTTTGGGCCATCATCATCACCGACCCCTTCTAAGCACTGCCAGCAATGAAGTAAAAGAAAAACACAAATTGATATAGACACATAAGCAAAAAACCAAGCATTCTTCATGACATCAGAATTCATAAAATTAAACCAAACGCAACACAAATATATTATAGAGCAAATTGTTATCATCACCAGTCACAAACAATAGTAGTAATACTGTGATAGTAGATAATCGATTCAACACCATACACTTGCCAATTAAACATAACTTCTATTAATCATACATAAATCTGGCTAGACATGATATCACATTGACGTCCTGGTTAAATAAAGGGAACAATTGTCCCTCATAAAATCCAAGCAGAAACAGTAATAGTAGATAACCTATTCAACACCATACACTTGTCAATTACACTTAAAGCGGCTAGACATAACGTAACACATTGAGGTCCCCGGTTGAAAAAAGAGAACAACCGCCCCTCTTAAAATCCAAGTAAATGCAGAGTCGTGCTTCATATTGTCATTTACAATCAATTCAGTCATCAACCAAACGTTAAACCAACAGTACACGTGACTTTGAACAGTAAGATTCAAAAGAAAAATGTGAGTTCAGAGCGCTCCTAATTGTTATGTTTAAGATATTACTCCTTGAGGACTTAGGGTTGGTAATTGAATGCATTGAACAAGAACACTATAACGCAAAAAAAGTCTTATTTCGGCGTGATGCCCTAGTAACTAGCACTTACGCATACTAAGTAGGTTGAAATTAGGGGTTTGAAATTGGGGGAGAGAGTACCGTGATTAAACATTGCTTGATAAATCTCTTGTGCACGTCCAAAGCGTACTCCTCCAACCCGAGGTCTTTCTCGAGCAACCGACGAACACCCTCGAAAGTCAAAGAGCTGCATTGAGAAGCGAAAAAGAAAGAGCAGTAGTTAAGATTTAAGAATAATGGGAACGAAGAAGAAGAAGTTGAAGAGAAAGAGAAAATAGTTACTCGGATTGTTCCTTGAAGTGAGAGACGCGAGAGCGCATAGCGGTTTCGATTTGGGCCTCAATGTTCTTCCCCTCGCTCTCTTCCGCCATGACTCACTCACAAACACAAATCTTCTTCGCTAATTGGCGTGAAATTGCATGTATTTCAAATTAGGGTACACTTTCACACACTCCCTCTGGTGCTCTGTTCCGAATGCACACCTCCTCTGTCACTAATAATTATCAAATTTTCCTCCCCATTTATTATTTTTCTATTTTCTACTAATTTCCTTATGATGATGATACAATTATTATTTCATTAACCAATTACATGCTTTGACTCTCAAATTAATATTTTGGATTTTTTATGTTATAACTTCGTTTTTTCTTTTTTTTCAAAACCTCCACCTTTTTATATTTTTATATGAGTTGTTTTAAAATATGCTTTCGTATGGCAATTTTTTCCCTCCGGATTTCAAGTGTTGTTACGTTTGAATTACTTTTCGTTTTAAAATTTATATATATATTACATAATTATAAAATTTTGACTTAAGCTCTCAATGTGTTAAAAAAAATAACACGTGTCATTCTTGATTATTTTAAAATTTAGATTAGTTTAAATTAAATAAAAGTGTCTTTTTGTAATCTTATGTATTTTAAATATTTTACATAAAATAATGAGTTAATCACTAATACACTGTCAATGTAAAAAAATTTTACACCGACAACCAATTAGATTTTTTTAGATTATTTTATTTTATTTTTATTTTATTAAATAAGCAACTGATATGGTATTAATAAAAAATTTGATTGATTGTCGGTTTAAAAAAATTTTACACCGACAACCAATTAGATTTTTTTAGATTATTTTATTTTATTTTTATTTTATTAAATAAGCAACTGATATGGTATTAATAAAAAATTTGATTGATTGTCGGTTTAAAAAAATTTTACACCGACAACCAATTAGATTTTTTTAGATTATTTTATTTTATTTTTATTTTATTAAATAAGCAACTGATATGGTATTAATAAAAAATTTGATTGATTGTCGGTTTAAAAAAATTTTACACCGACAACCAATTAGATTTTTTTAGATTATTTTATTTTATTTTTATTTTATTAAATAAGCAACTGATATGGTATTAATAAAAAATTTGATTGATTGTCGGTTTAAAAAAATTTTACACCGACAACCAATTAGATTTTTTTAGATTATTTTATTTTATTTTTATTTTATTAAATAAGCAACTGATATGGTATTAATAAAAAATTTGATTGATTGTCGGTTTAAAAAAATTTTACACCAACAATGTATAGGTGATTAACTCAAAAATAATTATAAAAACTTCTTTTATTTCAATATTAAACTTTTTAAATTTTATTTAACTTTAAATATTATGATACGATACACGGTACTTAAAAGCACAATATTATAACAAAATAGATAAGTTTGTACTTGCATTACTAATTGTTGGGAAAAAAAGTTAAAAGCTTAAAAAAAATATAACATTTAGGAAAAATGTTCTTAAAGTATATAAATCCAGGCTAGGCTTCAAAATCAATGTTTTTGTTCCTATCACTTATATAATTATATTCACGTAAAATTAATTTTTTTATCAAGAATAAACCTTTAATTTTAACAAAATATTTTTTACTTTTTTTAAAGAAAAATATTTGTTTACTTATTCTTGAAATATTATAACTTTCCGTGAAATGAAATGGAAAAGATATATTTTTCATTTTTCTTTATTTATATAGTTTATTCATTCATCCATTTGTCGAAGAAAATAAAATTTATAATTCGTATTATATATTTGTGGATGTTCAAAGGTACATTTTTAAATTATTTCAATTTATGTATGATTTTTTATATTGTAATTAAGTCTCTAATCCTATATGATTTTTTGTGTAATTTTTTAAATTTTATAGAATTTTGTATGCATTAAAATTTGTTCTAAAGGGTCAATTGTCAAGTATTTTATAAAAGAATTTTTTCTCTTTTCTTTAAGAAATTGAAAAACTAAGTTCGGATATCATTTTCAAATAATGCACAGATATGAATGTTATTAGAGACTCAAAGAGATGTGTGGACATCAATGTGCTTAGAGAGAAACAGATATACAAAAAAATAAAGATACATGAATATCAATGTGTTACTAAATGTCAAAAGAGAGAGAAATGTACATATAGTTAGACAAGAAGAGAAAATGAAAGTAAACAAAGAACACCAATTAGATGTATATATCATGCATTGTTATTTTGAATAAAAGCTAATTAGTCATACATTAATATTATGATGTTTTTCCACTTTTATTATTTCAATAATTGTTACCATACGATGGATGATCAAGCTATTATAATAAAATAACATTCAAATCATTCATTACATCTATTGTGTATCATTTAAGGTCTACATTAACATTTCTTAGCACACAAGTGTTTTAAGGTTGATTGAGTATAACACATAGCATGGCGAGTGTTTTAAGGTCTACTTCAATAGATACCTTTAGCATAATGAGTAAATTAAGGTCAACTAAATATAATCCTTAGCACAACAAGTGTTATAGGGTCTACAACAATATTTTACCTTAGCATATCAAGTGCTTTAAGGTTGGTTGACTTAGCTCTTAGTATGGCAAGTGTTTTAAGGTTTACAACAACATTTTTGCTTAAAATGATGTGTGTTTTATGATCAATTGACTTAGCCCTTAGCAGGACAAGTATTTCAAGGTTGACCAACTTAGCCTTAACACAACAAGTGTTTTAAGGTTAATTAACTTAGTCTTAGCATGAGTGTTTTAAGGTCAACTTTAACACATCAATTAGCATGAGTGTTCTAAGGTCAACTTTAACACATCAAGTGTTTTAAGGTCGATCAATTCAAGGATCAATGATTACTCCTTGTTTTAAGCATGGTATTTATGGCTTTTCAAATTTCATGTTTTGTATTTCACTCGATCGTTTATCAACCACTCACTTACTAGAGATACTTTATTTAGTTGAGTTTTCTCACTTTCATTAGCTTGACAAGTTGGTTAAATTTTTTACTTCAAAAATTTTATTTGTGACTTTCATAAACTGATTAGAAGAAAAATATTATGTTACTGCATGTCTTAGTGATCAAATACTCGTCTCAAGCCTATTTGCACTTTGTGTTTAAGGCTAAGGGTTTTGTAATGTTGTGGTAGTTGGTCAACTGACCTCTTCAACCTAAGTCTCTCCATGACTTAATGCTTAAAGTTGAGGAGATGTATACTATCATAATAGGTGGCTCACTGACCTTATCATCCCAAGCCTTTGTGTGCCTTAATGCTTGAAGCTTAGAGGGTTGAGTATTATCATGAGAGATGGATGAGCAACCTTTTTATCTAATTCTCTTTACGTCTTAGCATTTAAGACAGGGGAGTTGTGTACCATCATGATAGATACTCAATTGACCTTTTCATCCCAAGCCTCTTCATGCCTTAGAACTTAAGGCTAAAAGACTATGTATCATTGTGACAGATAACTAACTAACCTTTTCATTCCAAGCTTCTTCACCACTTAGTGTCTGTTTGATTTGACATTAAAAATGTCTAAACGCCTATTTTAGTGAAAGTAACGCTCTTATTAATTCTAAAATTTTGCATCAAAAAGTGAAAAATCACCGTTACATTAAAAAAAATGTATATCCAAACATGCTATTAACACTTGAAGCTGAGGAACTTTGTACAATCTTTATAAATAGTCATCTGACCTTTTCATCCCAAGTCTCTTCAAACCTTAACACTCAAGGCTAAAAAATTATATATAGTTATGATAGGTCATCGATTAACCAACTAATGTGAGTGTCAAATCAACTATTTGAAGTTATATCACAAAATAGAGATATCACAAAATAGAGATAAAGACAATGATGTCAAGATTTGTGAAATTGCCACCATAAAATACAAGATGTGAACATACTTGACCCACTATTATTTTAAAATTAAGATAAACATGTTACACTCATGAATATTCTAAACTTGACAATCATTGAAATTCTCTAAAGATAGTCCTCCATGTCATAACAAAATTAAATACATGCTTGTATTTATTTACTTCTTTGGAGCACCCTATTAGTAAAATTTAACTTCAATAATAATTTTAACTTAGAACACTTATACAATATAAATTCTTCCTGAATTTTTTAAGGAATTTGAAAATGGGTTTAACTTCAAATTATAATATAGTTCACTGCTTTCGTATTTGATAAAACAAAAAATAAATTGTTTTCAATTGTTTTATTAAAAGTTTTATTTTTTGATTACTTCTTTATATATGCAAAACATCAAGAAACTAAAAAATTGATTCGGATTGCAGACTCGACATTTGTCTTTTAGCTATCATTAGACACTTCTTTTTTAGTATGAAAGACAATAGACATCTTTTAATTGAGCCATGTAGGCCTTCTCCGATACAACAACAAAATTCCACAATAGCTCATCAGAAAGGAACAGATGCTATTAAAGAAAAGAGCTCAGTCGACCATGTGAACATAATGCAAATCAGAAATTTCAAAAGGAATGAAACTTCCAGAAAAAATGCCTGTTATGCAGCCTCAATATGGAGAGATCGTGCAAAATAATTAACGAAACTATCATGACGCTGCTGACTTTTATAGGCCTACAATAATTCCCATAACAAACTTCAGTTCCCCCAACAAGGCAGACGAAAAAGAAATTTGACGCCAAAATTTAATTATGCTACATGTATGTATGAAGAGAACTTTAATCGATCAGCTCTCTTGATATATATGACAATATGTTACGCACTCAATCAGAGGCAATATAATGTATCAAGCCTTTCTTTTCCGGTCGGCTGCTGAGGCATCTAGTTGAGCCTGGCCAAATACAGACCTGCAGGAAGTGCAAAGACACAAAATAATTAACATAGGTAAATGATAATAATGCAGCATCAACTGACCAAGTTTCCATTCAACAACTGAGGCCTCAATAATAATGGCTACCATCCTGAATGCTGAAACCAATCATAGGTTGGTCACTCGTGTTTCCATCCAATATGCATTCACATTTATGTTTCTCCATTTTAGATAACATGCTAGAGTTACAAAAAATGTGAAACTTCAAACAAAGATCGACCCGGTTCTATTTTATTTGCAAATTACCAAACAAGCGAATATGCAACGATTCATCATATACTACTGTAGGTCTGCTTTTCACTTTTTTTTTTCTATATATATACATTTAAAATACATTGTCAGGGATAATAAATATATGTGGCTAAATTTTATAAATTAAAAAAAAATGAATGAAAAGCAAATATCACGAAGACATTCATTCAGAAGTAGAGATCTAGTGGCAAAATATATGTGGCTAAATTTTATAAATTAAAAAAAAAATTACAATTGAATTCATAGACAAGTTTATATATGATGAAAATTTTAAACTTAGTAGCCAATATGGCATGTGGGTTAACATGTAGAAATGCATATGCTGGAACATTATCATACAGAACAATGAACAAAATCTGTAAAAGGACAAAATGGGAATGTTGGGGCTGTGTAGGGTATCATCATGAGATTATCCAAATAAAGGGCTGAAAACTTCATCTGGTTCAGTAGCCATTGTCTAGCTCATCTTATAGCTTTTCTTCTGGACATGCTAACTCCTAAATTAGATACGGTATCTTTCACCTATGGCTATAAAATTCAGCTAGAGAGAAACTGATAATTGTATCAAATTATCATTAGAGTAAGTAGTCTGATGATAAATTAATATAAGCATACTGCATACAATTGTGAGAGGGATTTCTGCAAAGGTTAACGAATTTGCAAACACTCGTTTGAATTTTGAAGCATATTGAATGGAGAAGCTTATAGAAACAGAATGACAGATGATCACAATAAGTTAGAGAAATAAATACTTACCCACAGGTTGAACACTTATCATGATGCTCGCAGAATATGGATAAGCACACAGAACATACATAGCCCATGTCAATTGTTTGCTTATGGCAGAAGCACCTGCACATTTCATACAATTTATCAAGGTGCAGGTCCCATAATTTCTATTTAAACAGAAGAAAATTTCCAGCAACGGAAGAGCTTCACATCACGCAACTTGTATAAATCCACTAAGACTACATTACATATAAAATCCATTACAAATTCATTTAACATTATACTAATTTATATGGAGGAGATATCTGAAAGTGAGCCTTAGGTAATCATGTTTCTATATTTAGTGAATTTAGGCTTTAGAAGTTGGGTTACTGATTGCATAAATTGTGGTTCACTAAACATGGACTGTCAATGTGATAAGAACCTTGTGGTTCACCAGAATCCCATACTTCCAATGTTGGACTCCAATCCTATACCTTGCAAGAGGAAATGATAGCTCAATAATGCATGGCATAAATATGTTTCATATCAATCACCCATGAGTTACTTCAAAAGACCTCGCAGGACAAACAATTTTATCTTGAAAAATAAAATTTGATGTTTCCACCATGCAGAGGCAATAAATGTGTTTGGGTGAGCATTTGCGAAATAGATTCCAAACGAAATTGATTTTGAAGTAAAGTGGTTTATGTTTCAATAATTCTATTATATAAAATCTAATAGCAAAACTCAGTATAACTTTTTTTTATCCAATGCAAAAAACTACCTAAAGTTGTTTCAACTAAAAATCAATTTGGACACATAATCAATTCCTTTTCCTTAATGTGAGATCAAACATGCGAACCTTTACCCAAAATCACGTCAGCAAGTAATTCAATGAAATTTTCGATGATCCAATGTGAATTCAAATATGCACTAAGAACAAAGCCATAGTTTGAAAGGGAAGAAAAAGGGACCAATTGGAGAAAAAATCAAGTTTAATGATTGCTAGGTTATAGTTCAAATGTTTGTAGTTTTCCAGGAGGGGAAGAAACAGAGAGGGAAAAGGAATGAAAATAAGAAATCTAAAACAGTAAAAGAAAAACTTACGAGGCACGAAAATCCACACCCACGGATTTAGGAAGCCGTAAAAATGCACGTGAATGCAAATCAGTTGCAAACACTGTCTGCATACACAAGGTTAGATTAGTGTCAAAAATAAAATTTGAAAGATAAATAACCTGAATGTGATTAAAATAATATATATGATAACTCATCTATTCCTTTGTCACAGGCCATATGCAAGATTTTAGTCTATCTAATTGTAGGGCATATGCAAGATTTGAGTTTATGAACACCAGTATCGGTAATATATATTGTCTTGCTCTCACCAATCACCATCAGTGACAATCAAATCTTTTAAGTTGTATATTATACATGCAAATTGGTTCCAAAGAATATTGAATTATATGCAAGGCCAAGGTTGCTAAACAATTTTTTAATTTAAGAGGAAGAATTTGAAGAATGTTAAACTTAATTCCAACCACGTTAATATATACTTAGGTTCCTCATCAGGTTAACTAGTAATGCAATAGAAAATGTATTCAAGTCACAGTATGGTCTTTCAATATAGTGACACACTTCTATGCAATTATGCATCAATTTATGGTCCATTTTTCCTGTCATCCAGAATCAGGAGAATAATATACTCCATAAAGCATAGCTCGATTCAAATTTCAATAAAGGGGAAAACGTGGACAATTTTGGTATCAATCAAACATAACAATGGGTTTTGGGGAAAAGCCATTATGTGGTGGTCATGGCTTTCTAAATGATAAAAATTACAGAGACCACTGACTGTGAGCAAAAAAATAAACTATATCGCAGGTCACACCAATTCTTCAAAACAGTCAACTAGAACACAAGCTTACAGAAAGATATTGATAAAGCCCGTCCAATTGGGGAGGCTTGTAATATATTCCACCGGTTATGTATGAAGCCTATCATTCATAACACAGAAAGAAATGACTAGAGTCAATAAAACAAATTCTGCCAATGCAATACCAACTCATTCAATATGAATCTGTGTATTTAACTACCTGCTGGAGGAATGCAGAATTGTTCGAACCAATATAACAAGAATCTATAGGAACCTACAATATAAAAATATTAGTTACACGTAAAAATACAAACAATCTTCATGTGTTAGTCATGCAAATATATTGCTAAAAATTGACTGACTACCTAACTGTGTTGACAAGAAAAAAACCAAAATTGAAAGAAGAAAAGCAAAGTGAAGATTCAGTAAATACCACAGAATGCTGTGCAGAGAATATGGCATTCATGATTGCCACGTACCTGAAAAGGATAAGAGGTGTGATTTGAACTGAAAGGTCAATGCAATATTTAAATATATAAAATGTAAATAGAATGCGTAACATACTGTTCTGGTCCATCAGTAGCACCTTGCAAACATAAAATCTGTTCATAAATCAGTAAGTCAAAAAGCAATTATTTAAAATCGATAAATTTGAAAGAAGCCACAACAAAAAGAAAAATAAAAAAGGCAAATCAGCTGAAAATAATGGATTCCTATAACAAATCAACAGCCAATATATATTAAAAACAAACATGAGACCGACCATGTAAACGAATTTCCACTAAGGAGTTTGCAAAAGTCATTTCCATTTTAAACCAGTTCAAAAATCAACCATGGAGCATCCGATCAATTTTGACCCATAGAATAGTTTATAGAGGACACAAAATCTTTATGTTTACCCGTTTTACAAGCAAGCAAACAAAATAATAGTATATGTAAATTATGAAATACTAAACACAATATTTAGCATCAATGAATTCAAAGACACGAGACGACAATAAAGATAGCTTCAAAGCGCCATAAACCCGCAAAACCAGCATTAGACGACAGACAGGACACGCATTGCATTTTCAAACTCTAATTTCAACCCAAAAGGATGCTCATTGATGGAAGAAAAGGCAAAAGTCAACAATCGTTGACTAACATCTACACTTACCCGAGGCTGAGGAGGCATGGGTCCAGAACGAAAAGCTCTCTGTATATCTGATAACCCAATCAGGTCAAACAAAAACCAGTCAAAGGTGAAACAGATGATTCAATCAAAAGCCCTAATAGTTAAAACGAGGCGTTTTGAATTTCACTGCGAAAATCCAATGAAGAGCGAGAAGGATACAACAAAGCGCCATGGACAAGGAGCCCGACAGGAGCGAAGAAGGAACAGTTCCCGGTGTGTGAGGCGACGCTAATTGCTGGTCCCTAGCGACGAACTGGTCGAGATTGTGAAGCAAATTGGAATAAAGCGCGGGCATTGTTCCGGTGGTGGAACCGTGGTTCTTGTCGGAGGTGGAATCGAAAACGTAGCCGCAGGAGTTGCATCCGGTGGCGATGACGATGACCTGGTTGAGCTGGCCGAGGAGCAAGATGGAGTTGAGAAAGGCGAGTACCTGGAGAGGAAGGAGAGAGGTTTGAGATTGGAAAGGGAATTAGGGTTAGGGTTAGGGTTAGGGTTAGGGTGTGTTACTTGAGAGAGGAAGTCGGCGAAGGGGAAGGGGAAAGTGCTCCAGAAGAAGGGATTGGTGTCTAGCGTGACCACGAGGAGACTCACGTCATCTGCAACGAACACAGAGAGGGGTGAATGGTGATAAGAGATTGACTGGTGAACGATTGAGAGAGTTGAGAGAACCTGCGTAGAGTTTCGAAGGAGCAGAAGTCATGGTGAGGAGGAACAACTGCTTCTGCTTTCACTTCCAACTCATTTCTTCACAACACCACCATGCACTCATACTTCCCGGGCTTGGAGGCCCAACTTTGTTTCTTACTCTTGAAATAATTAATTAAAAACTTATTATAGAATATAAAAGTTTCTGATTTAATAATTATTTCTTATTTTAATAAAAGTGTTTAAAAATTATCTTTTGTTAGATTAATTAGTGATACGCTTCATTCTCAAACTTTAAGGTTTTGTGTTTTAAAGGTAATTAATTTTTAATATTATTTTTATTATTAAAAATTCACAAATAAAATTGTCTAAATAATATGTACATCAAATTAGACTATTACTTTTTATATATATTATAAATGTTAATATTTGCATGTGTCATTATGAGTTGACATATGATACAAGATTAAGTTCAAGTTTACATTTTTCATGACGCGAATTTAACATTACTTCCAATCATAAAACTTTACTTTTGAACATACTTACTTAAGGAGATTCCAAAGGTAAAATTCTCATATTGATCCTCAACTTGACAAATAAAATCCATGGTCAAACTAATCAAATTAGATGTTGTTGGGTTTTAACTAAATATTAAGTAGATAATGATATTTGGTATGGGAGTTTTCAACATGTTATTGACTTCTCGTCCGATAATTATGAAGGTGTCATGTCCTATCTACCATTTTATACACAAAATAATTGTTGTGTATTTAGCTTATAATACTCTCATTAAATATTCATTATAGGAATAGTTTTGATGGTATAGATTTAAATTTTATTTTAGAGATATTTATCAAATTAAATATATTTTTTAAAATAATTTTAGAGATATTTATTAAATAAATATTATTTTATTTATTTTATAAAATTATATAATTTAAATTGTGATTGTATTTAATGACACTATAGTACTAAACTTAATTCAAGACAATATTTTTTTATCTATAAATGTGTTCATATCGTTAATAACTTAGAAATTAACAAATATATTCACTTGCATGAAAAATGCAAGAGGATCTCCTACATAGATTTGACATCTTCCAATAAAATAAGAATATAAAATAAAATTAGTATAATTAATATATTTGCATGTGAAAAGCTATATATTTTTAGAGTAAATTCTTTCTATTGAATAATGTGATTATTACTTTATTTTTATCTTTAAATATATAATTTAGTTCATTTATTTTAATATTATTAAATTAAATTACTCTCGTATCTCATTTAAAGAATATGTTTCAACACTATTAAAAGTATAATCTTTAAAACACTTTAGAATATATTTTTAACTATATATATACAAATATATACGGTGAGAGATTGGGGTGTGTAAATGTCTATAAATGATTATTGAGTCATAAAATATGTGGATTCTTTTATATGACTCATCCAAGTTGTGGGTCAGATTACTTCATCTTAAGTACATTGATAATTCAAATTTTTGGAACCTAAATATTAATATTGGTTATACATATACTTGGACTTTTATCAAGAAAGCCTTTAATCATTTAAAGCTATAATTTTGCATTCAACTAGGTAATGGTGATTACTCTTTGGTTTATTTTGTGAAGCACAAAGAGTCCTTGGTATCATAGTATTGTTGAAGTTCATGAGATGGATAAAAATATGTGTTTGGAATATTTTTGTTGATGGTAGATAGCATCTCGAGTTCTTAACTACTAAATTGTCACAACATATTTAGGAGAAACTTCCTCTTTTGTTTCTAAACCATTTGATGAGTGATGTTGTCATGTGGGATCAGTCAGCTTCAAGTGTCTACAATACTAAATCTGCTTATGAGTGGTTGAATTGTGAGCCAACCTTTCATCTTACTCGTGTAGAATCTTGATCCTAGGTGAGGAAGTCAAAATTTTAAGAAAATATTAAATTCCTCATTTGGAGCAACACCTTTCTTTAAATTCTCCGAGTTATAGATTTGGAGCAGCCTAGAAGACTTAAATACATACACTATGAGATTGTTTGTTTGCTTTTTAAATTTGGAGAATGATGTAGTAGAATAATGACCCTTGATTACATGCCTATAATACAACTTTCTAGCTTTGTCATCACATCTAACAAGTTTTGTTTGGCATCACCTTTTGAATGCTTTGTCTAACTCATAATAAAGTAATTTTTAATGATAATAATGAAGTAACTTTTAATGACAATAATCAATATGCCTAATATGTTTATAACTAAATTTAGACGTTATTTCATGTATCACATGAAAATTGATTAGTCTTTTCAATTAAGAATCCCACAATTATTATCCAATGAGAATGTTCTCCCCTTCAAGTTTTAAAAATAAATACTAATAAAAGTTCATTTAAGCCCATGATGATTTGGTTTTGGTAGAGTTCTTTGGGATAATTTATGGAGTTCATTTCATCACTAATACCACAAATGAATTGTTTGCTATTTATTATGGTCTCAAGATTACTCAAGATGTTGGTCATATTCATATTATTTGTGAGTTATGTTCTACCCTCGCTCTACACCTCATATCCAACGAAGTCATGAATTATTACCCTCATGCAAGCATAGTTTCAACCATACGTTCATTAATATTATTTTCATGAGATATGTCCTTTAAACATACTCTCAACTCAGCAGCAAATTGGTTGGTAAAGAAAGGCTTAAAGTCTCATGTACCTTTTATTTTATTTTATAGTTTCCATCATTTATTTTTTCTTTAATTTTAACTGATGCAATGAGTACTCTGTTTGTCAGATATAGTTTTCTTTCCTTTATGTTATTTTTAGCTTTCATTCTCATAATTTTATTTTTAGCTTTCATTCTCATAAAAAAATGCAGATTTTAAATTTTAAATAATTATTTTTTTATTAATAAAATTTAGCATATAGATTCATTTAAAAAGTTACGCGTTTAATATAAATATATATTATCATTAAGTTTATTAAATTCAATGATCAAATTATATTTAATAAATATATTAATTAATACGTGTAAGAAAAATATCAGTTTGTTTATATATTTATTATTTATATAAATATTACATCAATTATACACTAACTTAATACTTTTGTTTAATTTTATTCTACTTATATACATATATTTATATTATTTTTAATTTAATGGTCCTAAAATGTATGTTATGAAAACAATAATTAAAATAATGATTTTTAAATATATGATTAAATTCAGTAAAATTAATAAAATTTATTAAAATAATAATTAAATATATAAATGTGTTTATTTTCTTTGTTGTTATTTTTAACTAAAAGCAAATATTTTTTTTTAACTAGAAACAGTTTTGAAATTAAAATAATCAAACGCACTCTTAATTTATTTTCATTCATTTTTATTATCTTAATGTTATTTAAAATGCTAAGCAATTGACTCATGCTGTTGTACAATAAACGGTAAATAAACATGAGAGAATGTAATTAAAAAAAGAAAATAAAATAAAAACAAAATAAAAATGGCAGTGTACCATTCAGCCAACATCAAGTGGCCACCACTTGACAGTTTTTATATTACTGTATAGATATATAGATCACTTAACGCTTCAATACTTATAAAATTGCACAAATTTTCATTAATATTTTTCCTTTGCTTGTATTGTCCTTATTTTGCATACTTTTCTTCGAAGGACCAGCCACTTTAATATCTATTTTGTTCTACATACTGCTTAAATATATAAAAGTAATTGATTAAAATTAATTTTAGTTTACTTACTGTGAATAATGGTGAGTTTAATCATTTTTATAATTTGAGCTCGCATCAACATTTGTATGAATTCAAATTATGTTCTCTCGGACCCAAAAAAATAAATCATCCATTTGTTTTCTGTCGTGTTGAAAAGAGACTCAAGGTTATTAGATTTATTTGCCGAAATGATATTTTTAATTAAAGAAACAAGAAAGAGGACCAAGGGGCATGTGATTCTGTTCTCATCTGCATTAGGATTCCTCTCAAGTTGGACTACACTACAGAAAATTATTATTAAATATCTGGAGCTAGTTAAGATTTGGCTGAAAACAAGAATACAATTAATTTTGAGCTTCTGTACAGATTGAAAACAGATTATGCCTAGAATTACCACTATATAAACAAGATCATTCAGCAAAAGCACCAAATAATAAATGGCTAAGCGTGTGATGAAACCCGAAATCCCATAGTTTTCCAGATTCACAAATCAGTTCAGAAGTACAAATGAATATTAGCAACTACTACAATTGACAGGAGCACCTGAGGCAAACAAAGTAGCAGGCCAACTAAACCCACCACAAAATTGAGAAGATTACAATGCAACAGGTATGATCAACTTGACAAGTAATAACACAAGTGCAGATGTCAAAATGGGTAAGGGTTTGGCCAAGGAGCATGCGGCAGAAGCACCAGAAGAGATACCGCTAATGGGACCATTTGCAGGAGAGAACCCTGGAAGCCCTGTTGAAGGCACCAGTGAGGATTTGGGTGATGCTGGACCAAATCCATCAAACTCTGGTGATGGTGCTGGAGCAAACACCGTTAAGTAAAGACACATCATGAGAACCAGACAATTCAAGCTAATTGAAGAGACAAAGTATAATATGTGCACCAGACGACTATGAGTCCAATATCAGATGGGTGTGTGTCAAGAACAACCTCCATTACACTGACAGTAGTTCTAACTTCTCATATGTTTATGATGGCTTGTACTTTGTGGATACAATGATACAGGAAAGAGGAAGAAGTGGAAAGTTTGTGTTCAAGTTTATACTGAAGAGAATGTTAGAACAACCCCAAACTTGTGTTGCTCTTAAGGGTGATGTTATGGACAATGCTGGCAATTCAGGGACATTTGCAAGAATTACTCCCAACAAAAGACACAAATCTAGAGGATGTTTAGTTCAAAAGGATGTTGTTCGAATAAATGATATTTCAGAAGGAAAAGAAAAATTTCCTATTCGGGTGGTGACACCGAAGGATTGTGTTCAGATACTTCCATCCTTCAATTACATAGTTGGTAACATTTATTCAGAGGTGTTCACACAGCCAATTTTATGTGGATGTGATTGTGCAGATGGATGTGTGGACCACAAGAAATGTGCTTGCAATGTTAAGAATGGTGGAAGAATGCCATATGATTGTAACAAAAGACTTGCGTCTCTCATGGAATCATCACTTATATATGAGTGTGGCCCTTCTTGCAGGTGTTCCTCATCTTGCACCAATCGAGTTAGTCAGCATGGTATTCAGTTCCAACTAGAAATCTTCATGACAAAATTGAAAGGTTGGGGTGTTAGAGCACGCTCATTCATCCCCTCCAGAAGCTTTGTATGTGCATACCTTGGGGAAGTCCGTAACAACAGACACTGTGAATCAAGACCAGATTTTGATGACTATATACTTAAGATTGGTATGTTCATGATGAATACCTTCTTGTGTTTGAACATCATTTAACAGTTTCATTCTGCTTTTGCAGGTGTCGGCAAGGGCTTCATTGATGCATCAAGATGCGGGAACATTGGAAGATTTATAAATCACAGTTGTTCTCCTAATCTCATTGTCAAGGATGTTACAAATGATCACAGTGATAAGAACCTTCCATATAAGGTGCTGTTTGCAGTTAAGGACATACCTGCTGGTAGAGAGCTGAGTTATGATTATAAGTCCTCCAAGAGAAATTATTTCAGGTTCGGAATAATATTTGCTACTGTAGATCACAGAATTGCAATAGTCTGATCCACTTTTGAAGGTACAACTTTGAAATCAGATGAATATTAAGTATTCTTATTTACTTATTGTTAAATTAAGATAATTTATTACATTGTAAAGATAATCTAGTTAGACATTGTTATATAAGTGAATCATTATTAGATACCTACAAGGGGATGTTCAAGATAGAAAGTCATATTGATTTCACTTTTTTTTTTCTTTTTAGTTTCCTCGTCTCTCTTGCATTTTATTTGTAGTTGATCATCTACCAAGTGTGAAGGTATGAGAAGATAACACAAACTTTTTATTCATGTACAGTGTGTGTTATTTCATTTGTAAAATCATTATGAATAACTTTCTTGACAAATTGTCATAATTTTTCCAAGTCAATGAATTTTGCTTATAATATCATAATAAATAATATTATAATATCTACATCTATGTAATAACAAAATTAAATTATAATCAAGAAACCATCCAGTGATCTACTTTTGAGTTTGTTTTAATTATTTTTTTTGAATTTTTTTTATTATTTTTTATCAACTTAAATGATTATTACATTACCCTAATTTTCATCGTTTTCTGCATATTTTTATATGATTTTGTTTTTGCTTTTTAAATTATACTTTTATTATTTTACTTATTTTCTTGTCATTCACATTTTTCCTGCCCAATTGGGTTATTTTTTCTTTCATTTTTGTCATTTACATGTTTTTTTTATTCTCACTTAAATGATTCTCTTCTACTATTTTTTTTTTCATTTTTTTGTTGGGATTACGACATAGGGGTTAAATAATAGGAAGAATTTCACCTAGTTGAAATATTGACTTGCATGTTAATTGTTAAGAATACAAAGATTAAACATGAGAAAGAATTAAATTAATGAACCATGTGTAAATAACATAAGACAACTTGACATCACATCTTAACTTAAAATCTTAAAATGCAAGGTTTATGGCTCTTTTCACTTATATGTTATCCAATATACTAATCTCTATTTAATATGAGACTCTCGTTTAGACTTGAACACTAACATTTCTTATTTATTTAAATATCTTTGTTAAATTTTTCTACTTATTTTAACAAATTTCCTGCTTATTTTTCTCTTTCAGTTGCATAATCTTTTTCTCATTCATTAGGTGCACATGATCATTCTTGTAGAGTTCATAATTTGATGATAATTTTGTATACACGTGAAACATAGGTAATTAATTATTATTTATTTTATAAATCAAAGTATTTTCTAATCAAAAGACAATAACTAGTTAATTCCGTGTTAAATCAAAAGATAAATTATGACCCCTCAAAAATTATATTTTAATGGTAACAAACATAAACATTTTTGTGAAGCATAAAAATATCATTACCTAAGATGATAGTTTTAAGTGCATGTTAAGATGATAAGCCTAAAGCTTATGCAGGCCTATCTATTATACATTTATACTAAATGTATCATCTATGCCAAAATACTTTAAATGCATATTTAATGTGTCTAATGTTCTTATTGTCTATTTTCAACTTTTAACAAATCAAAGATATAAAAACTTTTGTTTTGTACTTGAAATATATATTAAATGACATTTTCATTATAATAATGTCGAGTAGATACCTTGAATTATGCAAAATTAGTCAAAAGTTGTTTAAGATTGACACATGCTACAATTCATTACCTTTTGTATCCTAAAGTTGTTGAAGGACATCATTGATTCAAATAAGAAATGATCATTTGGTAAAATGCATTAACGAATATATCTTCACATAAGGAAGTAAGTTGACAAGTATAATTCAAGAATATGTAATGATCATCTTCATATGCAACCCATAAAAAGAAGCATGGACAAGCAAGGAGAAGAAGAGGCAAGTACAAATACTTCATTCTTTCTCTATAAAATTATTCTGTATTATACTATTGTATAATGTCTTCATGTTAGATAATTCTTTGTTGTTTACCTAACTCAAACTTTATGTTTTAGCTAGAAACTTTGTTGTTAAAAATAATACTTAGTATTGAAGTCTGAATAAATTTTGTTCTACAAAAAATAATTGAATAATTTAGTTGAAAAGACAAATTAAAAAATATTTAGTTAAATCAATAACAATTTGTGTAAAGAATATTTTTATCTTTGTAAAAGATAATGAAACTTGATCAAACATTACACATAGTATCAATGATTGAAATGAACCAATATAAAAATATTATGATTTTTTTTCTTTACTTTGTCTAAACCTTTAGTTCTTATATCTACCTTACTATTTATGTAAAAAGTGTTGAAATTTTTGAAAGATACTATTTAACTTCCTTCTTATATATATCTAAACTTCACATCTATAAAATACTGAAATTTATTTAAGAAATTGGTTTCTTTCAACAAATATTATTTTATACACACAAATTAGATATCAAATTTCCAAATCATGAGGAATAAGATTGTCTATCCACTATATCACACCTTATTGATAAATATGAATATATAATTAAATTGAAATTACAATTAAAAAATATTTTAAGACAATATTATATCAGACAAAACATTATTTAGTAATTTAAGAAGTTATATTATTATTAACTAAGCCAAGTCAATTGCTTATTTCTTGGTTAGAGCTTCTATGGTCTATGTATACCTACATAATTTTCATTACATCCGTACTTTATCTTTTCTCATATTTTGAATAAAACACAACAAATTTATTTTTATAAAATAATGTATATATTATTAATATATAATCACTTAAAAAATATTAAATACATGATATTAAACTAAGTTCAAGCGATGCGAAAAATAATCTACACCCATTTATAAAATACATGAATCTAATTTATAAAACTAGAATATGTCAAAAATCCCTTCCAACCACTAGATTAATGAAATAGTGAGAGTCATGAACAGGCGTACTTGTTGAGAAAGACGAGTAAAATATTGACAAAAAAATGAAAATAGAATATAGTTGTGATTTAGTGTGTTTGGGCGAGTGATGGAATTCAACGAGCAAAGGAAGTTAGGGGAGGAATCTTTGAATGTGTATGATATAAGGTATGACCATAAAAATGATATTAATCTAACGGTGAGTAAAAGTAATGCATTATTATTTATAAAAGTGATACACATTAGCTTTTGTTATATTTTGAAAAATAAATATTAAATATAATATTTTAAAGTTATAAAACTAAAAACATAATTTATTTTTTTTATTAAATGTTAAATTTAATTATTTTACTTTATAGTCTTACCTGATTACAACAAGATTACATTTAATAAAGGATATATGTGATATATAAAAAAATATATATATTTTATCCCATTTTAATTATTAAATATATAATAGTAATGATGATAATAATAACAATTACACAGTTAATATGCGACTTTGCTTTCTTTCCTCATCAGTTCCTTTTTCTTTCATCACTGTCTTGAGAAAGTTTTGTTTTTTTCTAGTAGAATTTTCATTTTCATTTCTCAATCTCATTCATTCATCAAATGTATCATTTTTGTAGTATTTTACTTCATTTTTCTTTGTTATGTTTCTTTCTTGTTTTCCTTGATTTTCTGGAGTTTTTTCTCCCAAAGGTTTTTTTTTTTTTTAATGTAACTTCAAATATGGATGGTATAGGGTATAACCATGAAGATGAGATTAATCCAACAGTGCGTAAAACTAATGCATTATAAATCACTTATAAAAGTGATACATGTTGGCTTTTGTGATATTTTAAAAAATAAATATTAAATTTAATTATTTAAATGTAAAACAGTAAAACATATTTTATTTTTTTCTTTAAATGTTCCATTCAATTATTTCACTTTGTCGTCTTACCTGCTTAGAACAAGATTGCATTCAGTAAATGATATATGTGGTATATACAAAAAAAAATGTTTCATCCCATTTTAATTATTAACTATTAATAGTAATGTGATAATAATCACAACTACACAGTTAATAACCTTTCCTCATCAGTTCTTTTTTCTTTCATCACTCTCTTGAGAGACCTGTACATTATCTGATGTATTCCAGATTCACAATTTACAAAAATATATTTAGAAGGCATTTCAGGAAATTCGAAATAGTTGGTGTCACCAAATTTTCTTTTGGTGGTGGTGGGGGGTGATAGAAGTATGTTAAATAAGGAGTTGCAACTAGAACATCCCTGACAACCAAATACAAATTGCTATCTTCTTGTCATCACTTTAGTCTGGATTGCAATGCTAATCGATATCAAATCTAACTAATTGTAGTTCTGCAAACAGAGTCTAGATTCCAGACTCAAAATTTGCATACAGAGGCTGACATGGATAGCACGTGGAAAAAAAAATGGAGATTGATAATGATTCATTGGTTGCATCTCTAAGTAACATATTGAAATTTAGGAAGAGTACTGAATATGCCCGCCTAATTGAACTGATTCAGCTGACATCCCCGGAAATAAATCATCCAGAATGAAAACCAACCAACCAAAGAAATGACCTATTTAAAATCTTGCTAATGCAACAGAATGATTCATTATAAAGTGAATTATACAGCGCATTTGGGATGTGTGTATAACACTGACCTGGACATCGAGGCTGAAGAGAAGGGGACAACCTGCATGGTGGGAACAAATATAAAACAAGCTTAAATTCAAAAACCAGTTCAGCAAAATAGACACTATTGAAATATGCAAATTAGAAAATGCAGGTATGCTGAAGATAAACATACGTTGTTACTATGGAGCCATTAACAATGCCATTATAATTGCAAGAAGTAACATTGCAACCCCCACCAGTCTGCTGCACGGTAACATTCCCAAGCATAAGATTACTGCCTCTACATTGCATGCTGGAGCAAGAAACAGCAAGAGAAGCCGGCATACAGTACAAACTGTAGACAAAACAGCAAACCACCAAACATTAGTAACAACACCTTCTGAAACTCTACAACCACCATTTTTCACTTCACACCCAAAATAGAATCCAGGTTGAAGTACAAGGCGGAGAAGGAAAAAATTCGAAACAGAAAACAAAGAGTTGCTTAGTCAGTACTTAAGGTTTCTCGGTCCACAGCTACACTGCACACAATGACCCGCGGTAATGGCATAGCTTCCATTAGGCACAAGCAAGCCAAAATCAGAGGCCGATTTCGGGAAATTCGAAGCACAAGCTGCGACATCAGAAGCAATGTTAATAATTGAACAGAAATCATAAATCGTAGACACAATGTGGGTTATCCCTTATCATTTAAACTCAATCTTACTAAACCTAACATTAACAGCGAATAGCGTTATCTTATTACCGGGTATTGGAACAGCGAGGATATCACCGTCGTTAACAGCAGTACTTCCCATGGCATTCACATTCATCAAATCCGTGAGAGTGGTGAAATACCTAGCAGCAATGGCAGGCAGCGTATCAACGGGGCGAACCACATAAGAGAGGTAAATCGCGGGGAGAGAGTTATCAGAACCGTTGAAGCAGGTACAAGGAAGAGGCACAACGAGGTTCTGTCCGACGTCAAGGATGGAAGGGTCGTCGATGGAATTAGCCTCCCGAAGCTGGTCGGAGGAGACGAGGCCGCCGTAGACGGCGTCGGCGATGGAGGCGAGGGTGTCGGAGGGGCGCGTCTTGTAGTGAGTGGAGACGGATTTCCGAATGCCGTCGACGCAGGAGCAGGTGATGGGGATTTTGAGGAAGAGGCGCGAGGGGAGGATGTGGTGCTCGACGTCGGGGTAGGAGATGTCGATGGCGTTGGCGGTGAGAAGCGCGATGGGGTCGATTTGGAAGAGCGACGCTACCTCCGAGACTTTGAGGTCGGTGTAGAGCGTGTAGCCGAGAAGCGCGTTGCATGAGTCCGAGTTCGAACATGGCTCGATGGTGGATTTGCAGGCCGCGTGGAGGAGTAACGAGAGGAAGAGAGTGAGGTGAAGAACTAGAACGTGCTTCCGATTAGCCATTCTGGAAATACAGGTTAACCGGAGAGAGGGTTTAGGGTTTTCTTTCTTTCTCTCGCTCTCTCTGGGAAGTGTTGGGAAAAGCTTCAGTTTGAAAAGTGAAAATGGAGCTTAGTTTAGACTTTAGAGTAGGAGACAGGTGTGTTGCATTTGCATATCACGAGTGGAGTCGCAAGCAAGGACACTGTTACTCACTAGTCTTACTCTCCATCATAGAGATTTCAACCTTTCTTGCTTCGCTGGACAATTTTGTCCACTTACTAAATTATAATGTAATCTAGTTTGACCTAATATATTTTCATCTTCAATTTTAATCATAGATATAAAAATTTGTAAAAAATAATTATGATATATTTATATTTTTAAAAGTTATATGTAATGTAACGACCCGCCAGGTTTCACACTGTCTATAGTGTTCAGATACAAGTATAAAATAAAATCTCACTACAAAACAATTATATATATAATGAGAATATACAACTAAAAAGTCCCATAATATATATAACTAGAAGTAGGAAATAATACCCTATACAACAACTAGGTAGTCAAATGCTATCAATCAACTAAATACAACGTCAGCCCTCCTCCTGAGTCCCAACCAAAAAGAAGCTCACCTAGTGCAGCAGAGCACCTAATCCTGATCTGCTCACATACTAAGGTATGGTCATCGCAGTCCCAACCACAAATGAAAACATACTAAGGTAAGCTCATAACAATAATCATAAAAAAAAATAGCATCAACATATAATAAACAACAATAGAATTCTACTTTCAACTTGCAACTTAAAGCAACACAACACCTACAACAATAGATATACAACATCATCTAATAGCAACAACATTTTCAACACATCGTACTTTACTTAAATTGACCGCTTGTAATTGGTATAGCTCGGCCTGACCCCTATACCGTGGCCGCTTCATACACGTGTGCCTCGACCTTGCCCACACATGGGACCAACCAAGTTCTATAGGAGAACAATACACCATCCACTCCAACTAACAACTTTCTAATGAGGGTTTTTAAACAAATTGGGCTCTTAGAGCACCATAACTATCTCAATCTACACAATGGGATGAGCAACTTTGAAAACTTCTCCTCTAGTCCTAGTGATCAACAACACATCACAACACAATCACATAGTATTTATCCTAATAGTTCAACTATCAACTCATTCATACAACATTATATACAACTTGAATGCAACAACCCATGCAACATCAACTAATGCATCGTCACGCGTATACAACTAGGAGATCTCCAACAACTGAGGTTAAGCAGTTTAGGTGGCATAAACCCTACCGAATCCAACGTTTGACCTATCTCAACCAGGTCAGGTATAGGACATCGTTAGGAACTTAGAAGAGAACTAGGTATAGACAACAATAGGCGATTACTCAGGTGTGACACTTACACTCGGAGGTCCAGTACTATTGTCAAGGCAAAAGGGTTTGGGTATGGGCCTACCACGGCCTTGGCTTGCATAACCAATCCACATATAGAGTTAGCCCACCCATTGCCCCCCAAGTACCACGCACCCTCTAGTACCTAGTTAAAGACTACATCTCTAACTAGATACCTTACTCAAATTGGTCATTCAACCATGACATGGATCGACTACTACCTGCAGGACCGAATCGATCTCATGATCTGGTATGCATCTCCTAATCACCTGGTCACTGCACAACTTCCACAAATAAGGGTCATCCCAAATATAATGCTTAGCATCACTCTTAATTTTATCAATTTGAGCTCGTGATGCTAATGAAGGAAAAACAGAAGCAACTAAAAAATTAACAATGTTTGCAAGCCAAGGGGTGGTAGAAGAAACAGAAGCAGAAGAAACAATCAACACATTTTCATCAGGAAAATTATCCTGGATGGGCAAGACGTCAGCACTATCCTCAGATCTTTCAATTCTGCTGAGATGGTCTGTCACTAAATTTTGAGCTCCACTCCTCTTTTTTTTTTTTTCTTTTCATTATATCACTTCAATAAATTGTGAATTCAAAAATGGTATTTAAAAAAAAAAAAATGCAGCTGAAACTGAAAGATACGCGAATGTGGAATTCAAATTTTGAAGTGTTTAGGTTGTTTGATTTAATGATGTCTAGAAGGGTGAGAATGGGAACATAAATGTGCTGGTATTATTTTGGTCTTATGTTTTTTTTGGACGGCTATGCCTAGTGTCGGATTGGTTCGGAGCACCGCACGATGGGGATGTTTCGGTAATTTAGCAGTTTGCTTTTTCTGCTTTGCGGACAACATGTGTGGCCCGCATTCAAGTTATGTATTGTTTGCTTTTTCAGGTATTTGGGCAAGGAATTTATGGTTTTCTTGCTGTCTTCGTATGCCAATAGGATACCTTGCTAAACAGCTTAGCTAATTAATTTATTGGGAGTCCCATGATGGAACCTAAACATTCTTTATTTTTTTATTTTTGGGAAGTTTATCTACGTTTGAACATGTTTCATCATGGTTAATTTATTACGGTTATCACCCTTTTCACGCAAATCATCATCCATTAGTTCAACTGTTTTAGGTAATATGTCCGATATTTATACAAATTATAATCTGAGTGAAAGGAGCCACATTTGGAAGCAAGAGGCAGATTCAGAAAATACACTGGTAACGAAGTTCAAAATTAATTAGTTTTAAAATGTATAATACTATTTTTATTTTTATATTGTATTATATATTTAATTATTTTTTATTTAAAACAAATTTAAAAAATATGCACGGCTGAAGATATGCTTGTGGCAAGTCTTCAGCAGTCTATGCTTGTGCCAAGAGCAAGGGTTTGACGTTTTAGAGGTATCTTAGTTTATTAATATATTTTGAAATTTATGCTTTTAAACAGATGCATTTTTTTACCCACGATGGTATAAGTAGCTAGCTTAATTTTGTTGGCTTAGTTGAGTATTCCATTTTTTCGAGGATCATTTCATATTTCACAGAATAGTTTATTATGATAAACAATACTGCATGCCAGATTAAAAAATGCAGTTTGTCATTAAATAGAGATGTAAGAGTATAGTAGTGTGATTATCCTACGGGTGAGAGTAAGAACAAAAATTAAATGTAAAGAAATGAGTAAAATTATTTAATCAGAATGAACTAAGCATGTACAGTGGTGTTGGAGTGCCTAGGTGTCTTGGGTTATAAGCATTTCACATGAGACTTAAAACTGGTTTTTCCTTTCAATCCTCACCGAATCTGTTACATAGAAAAAGCTAAAGAATAGGTCTAAGTAAAATAAGAGTATGACACTTATTGTGGAAATAATAGAATATAAATGTTAATTATTTTAATGTTACTATTGACATAATAATTATTTTTATTGTCATTTATATTAAAAGTATTTTTCTATTATATGTTAATAAATTAATAATTCTCTTTATACTATAAAGAGAGTAAGTTTTAAGAGAGAAAATATTATGTTTTTTTAAATTTCTTTATATTCTTTATTATTATGGGCATTGTTCATGAAATTTTATATTTGATCTCAAATGTACGAGTTTGAACATATGTTAGTAAACCTTATAAGCAAAAGAGTTATTGGGTTGCACCAAGGGTCAATCAAGAATTTGCTTTCAAGCAATAATTTTTGTCATGATACAATATTTTCTTTTATTATTTTTTACTAATATTTTCTAACACTTATTATTAAATTGCTTAGTAACATGATGTGCCTTGATTCAATTGTATTTTAGTAGAATCAAGTTACTCATTAGAAGAAGCTTCTATCCTGTTATGTGACACCATATTATTATTTGATGTGTATATATTTCAAGTTATCAAAAAATACTGCTAGTTCACATAAGAAAACTACAAAATTTCCCCTAGCTCGGTCTTTGCTCAATGATAAAGCTGTTGATGAGGTGAATGAACTGATCATCATATTTGATGATGAGGCTTATAGCGCCTGTGGATATCATGGAAGTTACTCGGAAAAAATAAGGTAGTTTCATGTGATAAAGTCCAAATTATAATTCTAGTGGAGGACGTGGATATCCTTTTTCCTGAAGTTGGTGCATGTGCTGCTGCTATACAACATATTGCTCAAACTACAGAAGACCAATTATATTGACCAATAATAGTAAGATGACTAATTAGGATATTGCATCTTTAAGTTGTTAACATATTTGGGGAAAACTTCCTCTTTTATTTTTAAATTATTTATTGGGTGGTATTATCATGTGAGGCTAGTTAATCTCAGGTGTTTGCAATACTAAGTTTGTTTATGAGTGGTTGAATTATAAGTCTTAGTTAAAATTTATAGAAAATATTAAAATTTTCATTTGGGTTATTTATAGAGGAAGCTTTCGTACTAATTCTTTTCACTAATTTATAGAAAATATTAAAATTTTCATTTGGGTTATTTATAGAGGAAGCTTTCCTACTAATTCTTTTCACTTTAAGCGACACCTTTCTTTTGATTCTTCATGTTATAGGTGTGGAGCAGTCTAAGAGACTTGGATACATGCACTACAAGATTTTTGCTCTCCAAATTTTGAGAATGATGTAGTTGAATAATGGCCTTTGGTTCTACACCGATGATGATACAACTTTCTAGTTTCTTCAAGATACTTGAAGGATGCTCTAACAAGCTCAAAATGAAGCAACTTTTAATGACAATAACTTGTTTGTTTGGTATGTTTACAACCAAATTTGGACTTTGTTTCATGTATCACATGAAGTTTGGTCAAACTTTTCAATTGAGAAACTCCACAATTAGTGTTCACTGGGAGCCTCCTATCCCCCTCCTTGAGTTTTAAAAATAAATATTGATGGAAGTTCATTTGAAAACCTAGGACAGTCTAGATTTGGTGGAGTTTTTTGGGATAATTTCAAAGTTGGCTCATTGTATACTATGGCAATTGTGATTTCACCACTATTGAAGTGTTTGCTATTTATCATGGTCTCGAGGTTACTTGAGATGCTGGTCATATTTATGTTATTTGTGAGTCATATTCTATCTTTACTTTTGACGTCATATCTGACAGAGTCACGAATTATCACCATCATGCAAGCATAGTCTCAATTATATGTTCATTAATGATATTTTCATGAGATCATTCCTTTAAACATATTGTTAAGTCAAAAGACAATTTCCTAAGCTTAGAGTTTTAATGCTAACAAACAAAAAGTTTATATGAAAAATTAATGTCTTCGAAAATGTCTTTGAACATATTTTTGAAAAACTTATCAGATGAGGTGTAAGACATA